TCTTTCTTCCTAGTCTTAGTTCAGAAACTCCACTGAAATCTGCCCATCGTGAGCGATCCTTCTGATATTTGAAAATCCAGTGGCACTGTTTCTGTTGTCATAGCAACACTCAAGCCACCGCTACAACAAACTGACAGACAAGTGTCACATATGCATGAATAATGAATAAGAGAGGTTGAAGAATGGATGCATTTAATTGTAGTGTTGGTGAAGGATATGGAAAGCACCACAGACTGCTAGAAGAATGAGCAAATCTGTCTTGGAAGAAGTACAACCAGAATATTGCATAGAAATCAGGAAGCCAACACACATACTTTGGTTATCTTACAACATGGATGCATGATGTTGAGGCAAATCATTCCACTGGAAAGGGGCAAATATGGTCTGAGACCACCAGGATCGAGAGCCAAGAACAGGTTCACACACAGAATGAAGCCTTTTTTTAATGATTATCAGGGAAGAAGGAAGAGAAAAGCAATAACCAGGCAGTAACCGAAGTCAAACCCAGTGGCGTGGGGTCAGTTCCGACTCACAGCAGCCTGTGTAGGGTTTCCTGAGCTATAGATCTTTATGGGAGCAGAAAGCCTCGCCTTTTTCCCTCTTGGTTGGCTGGTGAATTTGAACTAGATAGCAGAAATAAATGTATGAACACAAGTCAAAAAGTACCCATTCTCTGGCTCTAGAATTTATTTTAATCATCTTTTGGAAAAGATAAACATATCATTTTTTGACACAATGTCATTTCAATACACTTTGTCCATCTGTCAGCAAGCTTGCGTACTCCCTTATTTAAAAAAAAAAAAAAGTTTCCAGCTGAGCTGCGAGCTACGAATGCACCACTGTCTCCACTTCTTCATCCGAGGTGAATCTTCGTCCTCGAAGGGCTGCTTTCAGGGGACCAAACAGGTGAAAGTCCGATGGAGCAAGATCAGGACTAGAGGGAGGATGCTTCAACACCTCAAAACAAGTTTTTGTCGAGTGTCAACAGTGCGGACAGAGGTGTCCGGGTGTGCATTGTTATGTAAGATCACAACACCCTTGGACGGCTGTCCTCTGCGTTTAATACACTTTAGGCTTCTGCTCTTCAGTGAGCATCTCACTGTAAGGAGCTCTGTTGATTGATGAACCTTTTTCCTGATTAGTGTTCCAACAATGGCCCTTGAGAATCCCAGAAAACTCTTGAGCATCAATTTTCCAGCTGGTGGTTGACTTTTGAACTTTTTCTTGGTTGGCGATTGAAGATGTTTCCATCCCATACTCTCAGACTTCTAGTAATGAATCCATGTCTCATCACCAGCAACGATTTTTTTTTTTTTTTTAAAGTGACTTTCACCTTCCTTTGAGTATCCGTCTAAATTTTGTTTACAGATGTCCAAACTTTTCTGTGTATGCTGTTCCGTGAGTTGTTTCGGTGCCCACATCACAGAAACTTTTGGAAACCCAAGTCGGCCCCGTGGATTATTTCACAGGAAGAGCCAGGGCTGATGTGCAAATGATTTGCCACAAAATCCACGGTCACTCGTCTATTTCACAAGATTGTTTCATGGGCCCGCTCAATGTCGTCATCAGCCGTGGACGTGGACGGGCGTTTTAATATAACCGCACACTCGTCTATTTCACAGGATCGTTTCACGTGCGCGCTCAATGTCGTCATCAGTCGTGGACGTGGACGGGCGTTTTAATATAACCGCACACTCGTCTATTTCACAGGATCGTTTCACCGGCGCACTCAATGTCGTCATCAGCCGTGGACGTGGACGGGCGTTTTAATATAACCGCACACTCGTCTATTTCACAGGATGGTTTCACGGGCGCGCCAAATGTCATCAGCCGTGGACGTGGACGGGCGTTTTAATATAACCACACACTCGTCTATTTCACAGGATCGTTTCACGTGCGTGCTCAATGTCGTCATCAGCCGTGGACGGGCGTTTTAATATAACCGCCGTGCAGATCATTTTTGACTCACCCTCCTATTAACTGTGCTGAAGAGAAAGGCAATATACAACTTGGGGGGGGGGGGGAGGGTGGTGGCAGTGTAGCATGACTGAGAGAAAGGAAAATACTTAGAGATGCACAAGAATTCAGGACAACTACAGTAAATGCTACAATATATGCTGCCCTACACCAGGACTATAACTGGTGAGCAGATGTATAGGTGAATATATACTAAATAGGGCAGAGGTCCTATAGGACTGTTTACATTTACATACATAGGTTGTTGTTGCTATTAAGTGTCGTTAAGTGGGTTCCGACTCACAGCAACTGTACATATACTGGTGTAGTGGTGGGTTTTTATACATATGTATTTGTAAATCCTCTTGCATGTGTATGTGTGTGGGTAACTATATATATGGTGTCCAAAGGACAAATGACCCATATGAAGCAATCCTCCTCTACCCTGAGACCAGAGGAACTAGATGGTGCCCAATTATCACTACTGTTCACTCTGACTCGAACCATGTGCCACGTAAACATGACGACACCATACACACTATACACACACTACACACATCCATCCATCATCCACTCATCCTTTCACCCATCCATCCATCATCCATCCACCATCTATCCACTCATCTTTCCACCCATCTATCCATGATCCATCCACCCATCTATCCAAACATCTACCCATCCATCCATCATCCATCCACCCATCTGTCCACCCATCTATCCATCCATCCACTCATCCATCTATCCATTCATCTACCCATCCATCCATCCACTCATCCATCTATCCATCCATCCATCCATCCATCCATCCACCACCCATCCATCCATCCACTCATCCATCTATTCTTCATCCATTTATCTATCTCTGTCACATATCCATCTGTCTACCACACACATGACTATAACACATACCCTCAGACAAACAAACCACACACATGCATCAAACATGCCACACACACCATACATACATACTACACACAATATTCCTTACATATGCACACATACCAGGCATCATAACACACATGCAACTAAACCACACACACCAAGACAAAGACCCACATCACACACACCATTGTATGTTCCATACAGTATGCACATACACCATGTACACACTCATACACTGCACAGGACCTCACAAAGAGACAAGTACAGTCCAATTCCCTCCCAAAGACCTAAGATCTCAACACCCTAGGAGCACTGTGGGCTTCAAACCTGAAGGAGAAACCAGCATCCTTGTCCCCCATCTACAGACACATCAAAGATCTGCTTTGTCTCACCAGACTCTCCTCTTTACTTCAGTCACATGAAAACAAAATGCAACCTCAAGGCACTGGAGGTTTCCAAAGTTAAATATCCCTTAGGCACAGTATCACATCATGCACCTGGACACAGGTGTAGAAGTTGTGTCTCCTACACACAATGTTCCTGTGGTTGCCAAGACAGATTCCCTCTTTCAGAAGAGCTGCTTCTTGTGCATGCATTGGTTTCTGCAAAGCAGGATTCTGGAGACCATCCAGAAGGTCTTTGTTTCATCCTCTGGAGACAGTGTGTCACCAAACACCTCTGACTATCTGTCCATCAGTCCCACTGTGGTGGCCTGCTTGTTACTGGAAGCTAGGCCACCGGTATTTCAACCACCAGAAGGATGGAGGGTACCGTCACCACAACAGTGAACTCCAACATGCCAGAGACTGTGAGGACGGCATAGGACCGGCCACCATTTTGTTTTGTTGCTCATGGGTCACCATGAGTCAATCAACTTGACCATATCGGCCTGCCTGTCTGTCTATCAATCTATCTATCATCCATCTAGTTAGCTAGTTAGCTAGCTAGCTATCTGATAGTCCTTTCATCCATTTATCCATCCATTCATCCACTTACCAATCTGTTTTTATCCATCCTTTCACCCACCCATTCATTCATCCACACCATCTATCATCTATCTATATCACATTTATCTATCTATGTATCATATATCTATTACATTTATCTATCATCTATCTCTATCTATCTATCACATTTATCTATCTAGCTAGCTATCTCTATCACATTTATCTATCTATTATCTATCTATCTGATGGTCCATTCTCCCATCCATCCATCCTTACACTTACCTATCTATTTTATCCATCCTTTCACCCACCCATTCATTTGTCCATCATCTATCTGGGTAGCTAGCTAGCTATCAAATTTATCCATCATTCATCTATTTATCTATTATCCATCTATCTATATATGGTCTATCTATTTGATGGTCCATCCATCCATCCATCCATCCATCCATCCACTGACCAATTTGTTTTATCCATCTTTTCACCCACCCATTCATTCGTCCATCATCTATCTATCTATCTATCTATCTATCTATCTATCTATCTATCACATTAGCTATCTATTTATCTATCATCCATGTATTGATCTAGTATCCATCTATCTATCTATGATCTATCTATCTGATGGTCCATTCATCCATCCATCCATCCATCCACCCACTTACCAATCTATTTTATCCATCCTTTCACCCACCCATTCATTCATCCATCATCTATCTATCTATCTATCTATCTATCTATCTATCTATCTATCTTGTCTATTTTTCTACCTATCTCTTCATTCATCTACCTCATAATCCATCCATTGATCCATCTATCATTTACTTATCCCATGGAACAAAGAGTCCAAGAAACTGCCCATGATGGAAAGAGATGGGTTGACTTGGGTGTGCACACAACAGTAGACAGAAGGATGTCCAAGCTGAGCTCACGGAACCCTTAACTCCATCAAGTCTTTCACCTACAAGGGCCCCATATTCTAGTTCCGGGAAGGAGATTCCCTAAGAATGAAATCGGACACAGAGAGCCCCTTGGTCTGTGGTGAGGGTCTTCCAGGCATCAGCATCATTGATCGTGGATGGTGTTGAGCTCTTGTGGTCCCTTCACGCCAATACGGCCCCCCGGTGTTAGTGTCACAAGAGTCAATGTCTCATAGCATCACATATGCGTTGTCATTAACCACAAAAGAAAAGCCACCCAGAGCAACCACGTCACCGGATTGGGGGGGACCACAATGCTGGCCAGGACCCGTGGCCTTTTCCACATCCATCTGTGGGCACAATGGGCCTGTTGTGGGGGTCTCATTCTCAGCCTTGATCAGTTGGGTCAACAGCATCTCCTCCGGAGCACAGTCTTCGAGTTCATTCTCCACCTTGTTCACGTGGGTCACGTTCTGAGTGTCCTTGATCCACTCCTACAGAAACGGAACATTGTGGCTCAAATCCCATGAGCGCACCAACACGTAAACCACAGCCCATGATGGCTCCAAATCCAACCCTATCCACCTCCATCCAGGACGTCCATCCAGACCCACAGAAATCCTGCAGGACGGACTAGATTTTCTAACCAAAAAGTCGGAGGTTCAAACCCACCAGATGCTCTGTGGGGAAAAGACAAAGCCATCTGCCCCATAACTTTTTAATATATT